AACTTCCATCATTGTATTTAGCACTGAAATAGTATCCAGATCGAATCTAATCAGTTATCAGACAGAAATCGCGAAAACGTTTAGACGAATGCGATCACGCGAACCACTCGTATACGCTACAAAAGCCGGAATGATGATGGAGTTTATCAAAGATTGATCACTAAAGACTATTGGAAGTCACGGCGGATCGATTATGGGCAACAAAGCCAGTTCCCACGGGGACGTGTGGACGAAAATCGTGGCCAAGTGAAACTTCCCAGGGAGAGAGAGCGAGTTTAAAAATCAGCGTCGTTTGCAGGGGCACTTTACACACCTTTTTGCAGCATTCTGCAAGGAAAAGAACCATCGGGGAAAAAACGTCCCAGGGAACGGCCGATGGGACAAAGACAATCAAAGAGAGTAATGAAAACACGAGAATGATATAGAAAAGAAGTGAAGGCCCAACACCAAGTGGGCCGTCTCCCAGCGATCCTGAACGCATAATGAATTCCCGGATAGATCACATGAAGGCAAGTGATCTTGTTGGTTCCCCCTGGGAAGGATGTTTCCCGAACAGCATAAAACGAAAACGAAGCCTCTCCCAGTTGCACTTTTGACAGGGGTTTTTCTCTGGCGGAACAAGACAAATGAGCTTGCAGAAATGCCCCTACCCCATGGCCTTGGCAATGGCACAATGTCAAAGGTGGAGGGAGAATGTTTGACCGTGTGGGTACGACGAGTATGGCGAAACACAGTGGCAGGCGATATAGAGGGTCAGAGAAGTGGTCAGCATTGAAGAAGGAACGTGGGAACTGCAGAGGGTGCGCAGAGTGGACATCGGCATAAACAGCCCCGCATACCGTATCCGCGCTGGGTGCAAGGTCGTGGCGGGAAAATCAATTAATGAAAGGCAAATATAACTTCAATAGAAACGATAAAAACAGGAACCAAATAAGAAATTAAAAAGGAAACGAAAATTAAAGGAATTCGAATGTGGGAGTAAAATCCCTGGATAGAACTTCCAGAGAATGGTCGTATAATAAAACAGTGAATGACGAAGGCTGTCGGCGACACAGCTCCCGCCCAATTGGCGATGCTAGTCTGAAGCTCTTTATGAAGACGAATTATCCCTGACGACCACGATGATGAGTCTCAAACCGCCAGCTGTCGTGACCACGCCGGTCGCATCTCCTCTTCAACTGGTAGGCTGGGCCGGTCGTCCCCGCCCTTTCGCCGGGCGGGTGCATTCCGTTCGGTCCGTCCCCCCGACGCGCGTTGTTTTCCCCCTCCACACCCAATGCTTTGCTCCGTCCTGTGTCTCGCCACACGCCCAGTACCGCCCTTGTCCCGCCTCTCGTATGATGTCCTCTACTGATCAGCCCTGGCGGGGCGGGGGTGTGGGGAGTGACGTTTCAGAGGTAGACAGAAGATCGAAAAGTAAATGAAATGATCAGAGGGTGACCTAAGTCACGCTCGTAGATAAGAAATAGTCGATAAACAATGCTGTCAGCGAAAACCAACAATGTGACTGATACACACTGTACAATGAATTTATAAAAAACTTTGAAATCATTCAGTACGGTTTATTGTTCAGGGGAATTGGAGCGAGCCGCTCGAAAAGGGTTTGACTCCTGCGCTGGGCTAAGTCCCAAATACATGACCTGTAGATACTGTCTAATAAGAAAACTCCCGTTTGGCAGCTCGTAGTTGAGTTAATTCTTTGAACCTTGACTTCATCATTAACTACGTAAAGGCCGAATCAGAGGTCGATCATGAGCATGGGAAGAAAAGGGAATCCTGTACCTGTAGGAATGAATGCAAAGAAATATCCATGGCGAAATACAGTGTTGCACCAAAAGGTGAAGGACTACAGGAGAAGAAGATGGGGAATAGTAGTAAAATAGTAAAAAAAGTAATAAATTGTGAGGCCTACATATTGTTCCATCTGTTCCCTTTACTAACCCACGCTCCACTTTGTCGATTTAGGATGGGTTCGAAAAGAGGGCCGAATCAGAGGTGGTCCGAGAACCGAATTGAGGAGCAGGGTTCGTATTTCTAAGGTTGTGGAATTGAGGATACGAAATCTTGCTAGAAGAAATGTTACTCGTTGTTTTGCGCCATGCCGCCTACGTCTTCCCGGAATCGTGGAGACATTTGAGTGCTGACCAGGATAAGCATGAAGTGCTAAAGGGCGTTTCCTGCCTAAAAACACTCAAGATCTTGGCACCAATGACCTGAGTAGGTATTATATGGGTTCCTGAAACGATTAAAGAAGAAAAAGTTAACCGCAAGGAGCAAAAAGGCCAATGTAGCCTTTCAGCATCACTAATGTAGTTAGGCTTAATCATTTTCTATGGATTATATGACGTAATTCTTGGAAACCATGAAATGCATTAAAGTGTGATGAAGGCAAAATGAATTGAAGGAGCCGAGCCTTTGATGGCGCTTTTATGGAGAGTTATTGACATTGCATGGGAGGATAAAACGAATGACACGAAACGAGAAAAATTTTTGATTAACCAGCCGTAGCCAAACACCCACACACACCCTTTGAGCGTGTTGTCTACGTAATGGGGGAAGCCTTTTCGGATAGGATTTTGAGGGGAAATAATGTGATGAACAGCAAACGGATGACGATGGTGGAGGCTTTCAAAAGAGGCGGAGCAGGCCCATGGCATTGAAAAGAGATAAGGGGGAATCCAACGGATACTGAAGAAGTTCAGCACTTCTTATGGGACTGCGGTTTGGACTTGGTAGCGGGTTCGGTTTGAACTCGGATTTTAAAGACAACTGAGCAAAGGGCGGAGCAATGAGGTCATGAGGTCACGTTATCTATCAGCCAGCTTACAAAAAGAGAACCTGTTTTCCCTTTTTTCGAGAGAGAACTCTTGATTTCAATTCAGGGTCAAATTTTAATTTGTTATCCATGATGAATGCTTACTTCCTAGCCGGCAGAAAGTCTTTTTTGCTCCTGGGAAAGGAAAAAGGAAAAGATGAAAGGAAAAGGAGAAACCTACAAGAGGAAACTTGGAAGCCTGGAAGGGATGTTGGCGAGAAACAGAAATGCTCCAAAAGGTAAAGGGCTGGAGGAGAAAAGAATGGGCAAAACAACTCAATGTAGAAGCCTACTCATGACACCAGCCGTCTCCATTACCATATAGCCTACCCTCTAGCTTCTTGTCAATTTGGGATGGGATCTGCCCTTTCTAGCCTCCTTGAGTTAGAGGGGTGTCGAATTGGTAAACATCTCTGTTGACAGACTTAGGTATCCTACAAATTCGGCAGACGGAAATTGGAAATGCAAGCGNCCCTTTTGAAGCAACACATCCATTCGAGAGTTTCATGGCAGACATGAGGCATTCACGGTACTGGGGGGCAGGGTGTAGGAATTTAATATTTATACACTTTTCATGATTGGATTGTAAAAACATATGGCATAATTCTAAATTAACCTATGGAAACAAAGTGCAGCAGGTTTTTGAGCAGCAAACGTTGGTTTCGTCGAAAAGGGCTCGAAGAAAAAGTCAGCGTCGTCTATTCTCTGGAATAGCTGAACGAAGTTGAGCAGATACGATTAAGAGCTCATAGAAGGCTTTCAGAGAGCGGAAGGGGCGACGAGAGGAAGGAATAAAAGCAAGCGTGTTCGAGCAATACGAAGAAATGCTTCGCTGCCGTCATCGCATTTCAAAGTGACACCTGCCAGACCATGGAAAATCCCCGTGATTTTCGTGAAATTTGAAAAATTTCTACCAAATATCAAAGCATTGGCTATTACGGTAAAAGTGATAGGGCGTAAGATCAAATTCATTACCTAAACTACTCTACCCTTTACTCCCCATTGGAAACTCCCACGATGTACTCTCCATCCAATTGCGACGGCTTTTTCCACCGCGGTTAAAGATTGCAAAGTGTTTTTATTGTAAAGCAAGCTTCCACAAAAAGGTAAGGCTAAGCCTAGGGCATCAGGGCATCGGGGTGAAAAGGAAAGCTTACCCAGGCAGGAAGGAAAAGTAATTCTATCGCAAAGTATGCTATATAGTAGCAGCGGAATCAACTGCAAACTGTAACTGTCAGCTCCACCTACAATAGGACGTGTTTTCTTGCGAGTGGGTTGTCAATAATGGCAAATCAGTATAGTAACACCGATATCGCAACCAGGGAATCAGGAAAAATTGCCAATTTTGAGGGGCTATGACGTAGCGAGACATCGTCCAAACACAAAGCTAATCGAATTGTTCTCGTGTATCCGTGGAACAAGGCAGAGAGGACGGCTTGGTCTTCCTTTGAGGGTTTTCTACGAATTTATCATTTTTCTTTGTGACCTCAGAGTTGCCCGAATTTCATTATTCACCCAAACCCAAAACATCTTGCACTTTGCATTGAATTGGAAAAAACGCAGACTGTTTTTGTGAATATTTCTTGAGAAATGACGATGTCACTCATATCTTATCGCTTGACTGTTGTCTACTCGGAAATCTGTGGGTGTTGTTATCGCTCGTCTGAGCGGATTATATAGCACGAAACCTCTTTTTTGCTTCTAATCATTGAAGGGCTGGGAAGCCCATAGTTTTTGAACGTCCATGTTATCACCTGAAAAGTTGTTCAGGATACTTCTGAGCCTTTTCTGGGGAACGGGTAGGTGTCAGTTCGAGTTGGCAAGGGAATAAAGCAAAAGCCATTTAGTAATACAAGCGGCGATTTCTTGTGATGTTTTCGAAGCCCCATAGCTTTGACAGCCTAAATGCATGGCCTTTTTATCAAGCAATCTACGTGCAGCCAGCCGGCTCCTTCGGACTCCACCGAATGCCAGCCAGATAGCAGCATTACAGCCTATTGAAAAGCAGTCGATTCCTCAGATAATTTGTAATTCCATTTGTATCATGGAATTATGGAAAACACTAGGAACTTCAAGTATACTACTGTAGTGAGTAATACAAGGTCTAATAAGAAGACTTTTTTGTGTAAATTCATTATTCAAACTGTCAACCTTAATATTCTATGCAAATTAAATGGGAACGTTTGAAATTGCCTTAAGGCCTTCCAGGAGTATAATGGAAATCAAATTGTGGGGGTAAGCAGAATGGTGAATAGATGATGCCATTAGGCATATACTGCAGTGGAACATTTGCTTCTTAGAAATAAATTGATACCTCAAAAAGGATCTCGAAGAAATTGCTCTGAAAGGTTTCCTCAATAAATGTTAATAAAGTACTAGTATTCCTTAGCATTTGATTCCGCAAATGATCCTGGAAAACCCATATCTTCTG